ATCATTAAAAATATTTTTTTTGTTTTTTTTCTTTTTTTTTTTTTCTTAACGAATAACTAAAATCCGAACAAAATTAGATTTAATGGCTCTTCACATATAAGCAAATTAAGGAATTTGCTCGTGAATGATTTGCAAGCTGTAATAATTTGCTATTCAAGAGGCCGGAGGGAAAATAAAGCCAAAAATCGTTTACGAACTTGCCACAAATTCCAATTCGCGACAGCTACACACGCAATGAAAGTGAATACGCCATCTGAAAGTCGGCGCGACGAAGAAAGGAGTGCGAAATGGCGAGACTTAAAGAAACGTAAACGCCTATTAAATATCCTAGACGGTTAGAGCAAGAAAGGAGAAACGGAGCTCGTGTACCCAACAAGTACGTACATACGCTTTTATTATGCGCGCGGCGCTGCTCCTCTCCTCCCATTCCCTTTTACTCGCGAGGCTCATGGCGCGACGACGCGGACCAAAATAATCTTTAGATTTCGAGATCGTTAATCAAAGGCCTCCCCGTGCGAAAGGAGACGAGTTTGCGATTCGCGCGAATAGTTTCGGAGAAAGCTTTCGGGCGCTCGTCTCCTGTGTCCCTGGACATTAAGCTCCGGATTAAGGGCTCGGATGGTAACGTTGGAAAATCGGGGAAAACTCCCCGTCCTCGGATTCTAATGGACTTTCTTTAACAGCAATACGGCCACTCTGACATGGAAGGTTTGGGAGAGCCCCGTCGATGTGCCAAATTGTACGCCATTTCATTATTTCATTATCGCCACGATTCGGTACAATAAAGACCTTTCATTAGCTGCATTCGTAGGCGTATTATTATTCTCGGCGCTTAGCTTCCTCTTAAGTCTTGCGATTACAGGAGTAGGAGCTTAGACAGATATGGCCGTCCCGTTATCAATTGTTAAATTCATCACGTTACAAACAGTGGATTGGATAAAAGTGCAAAATTCACTCCGATATAATATGTGAATACGTTTTTATAATATGTGTTCTACGTTTTACGATCTAATCTATGTGCATACGCGTGCGCGTATATATATATATATATGTGTGTAAGCGCGCCTATGTATGTTTACGTGTTTAAAATGCACGTGATTTCTGTATTTTTAGCTTTGTATGTGTAGCCATGAGTATATTTATCTCATGTTTTCTTCAAATATCGTCTGGGATTCGATCATATAATGTAGAGAGAGAGACAGAGAGAGAGAGAGAGACAGAGAGAGAGAGAGAGACAGAGAGAGAGAGAGAGACAGAGAGAGAGAGAGAGACAGAGAGAGAGAGAGAGACAGAGAGAGAGAGAGAGACAGAGAGAGAGAGAGAGACAGAGAGAGAGAGAGAGACAGAGAGAGAGATGTCTAAGCACTCACGTGACGAATAGACGTAGAAATTACGATCTCGTAGAAAGACTGATTTTTTTCTTTCTTTTATAGATCCATTTTTTTTTTTGTTTACTTTTTTTTTTCATTTGACATCCCTGCGAGTCTAATTAGATATTCTTATATACAATAATAATTGTATATAAGATTATATATTATATAAGTATATATATATATATATATATATATATATATATATATATATATATATATTATATAAGAATTATATTATATATTATATATTATATAAGTAAAATAATAAGAATAAAAAAATAAATAATTATTGTGTGAATTAGCGTCGTTAAAATGAATTGGGATTATCCTTAAATTTCAATTTAGTGTATACAAAATGAGATCTAAAATAATAATGTTAATATAAAAATTATCAAATCTAGGATGGAATTTCTCTGATTAATCATTTTAGGAATTGGCCACTTCAATTGAACGAAGAATAATGTAAATTAGTTGAAAAATTTCCTAATGAAAAGCAAGAATGAGAACCAAATGTGAAAAAAATCGTTCGCGATGTGAAATATACCGATAATGAGTTTTTCAATTATTTCAAATAACATTACATACGTATATTAAATTGCGTTTTGGTGACGCCTAAATTAAATCATAAATTAGATTTTTCAATAAATCCTTTCTCCACAAATCTCATGTACATCACACCATTCTATTAGTCCTGTCTAGTTATATTTTCCTTAAAATCAATGCTTCGCAAGCTCTTTCCTACGATATTTTTCATTTCATCTGAGATTCATTTCATATCGAGATCTGAAATTATGTATAATATTTAAATAACTGGATATGGGCGATTTTTATTCGAATTGGAATATAAATATATATTCGACAATATCATATTAATTAAAATATGGCTTTTATATTTATTTACATTATTAATGGCCAATTGATCTAGCGCTCGACAACGCTAATGAAAATGATATTATGAATAATGACATGTCGGGCCCAACAAATCGAATAAATTTAATTATTATTAAATAGTTGACCACAGGCTTACCCCTATCAACTAATATCTCATTTTTACGATCATTATAATGTAAAAGCAGGCAATAATGGTGGGAAGCCGCAATTTATAAATTATTAAATACAATTTATCGTTGTAAAATCGACTCTCGCGCAACCCAGGCTGAAACATTCCATCAAAAAATTTGTCGTTTCCCTGAAGTGGAGATTTCCTTTTCTCCCATGCAACATCGCGTTCGTTCGTTCGCAGACGAACCGATAAATAAGGATACAAGCTAATGTCACATATCACATTCTGGACTAATAAGACCCTATGGCTACAAATACCCGACGAATTCTCAAATCTCATATCTCTTTTTCGCTTTACCCAACCACTATAATTCACCTTGCGCCCCCTCAGCCCCTACATCTTGTAAAAATAATTTTGTATTTCACAGTGGCTGACAGAGGTATCTCGTATTGAAAGTCCACCGAGTCTCGCGTCCGGAACAAACTTACGCGGGCGTTCCTCCCGACTTGTCGGAGGCCCGTATTTTATCTCGGCCGTCGGACGCCCACGGCGAGGCCTGGAAAAATCTTCCTCCCCGGCAACGTCGAATACGACTGCCCCGCCAAGAGGACGGCTGACCTCGCGGCCGAACCTTGCTTCCTCGACGATGCTGGCTCATTCGAGAGGAGTCGAAGCCGTTTCACGGTCCCCGAGGTGTTACGCCCCGCTCTAATCGCGCCCTGAAATTTGAGAAGGACGACGCGATATCGCGGATACGGACAGCATCTGCTGAGTGGTCGTCTGCCTTTCGTGGCAGAAATTTCGCTTTAACAGGAGCTGCGCACGGCTTATTCGTAAAATTCACTGCTGTCCAGGTTGGAGCGCGTTTCGCGAGGTCGACTTCCATCCTACTTTTGCGACACTCGCTGTTTGACCTCCTGTTCATCTTTATCATTAGACACACATTCCTATTGGGCTTAATATAGGAATCGAATTTTTAACGATTATTATCGACAATATCTAGGAACGATTGTTATTATCAATTTTCTTTTTATTGGCAATATGACATTTATTAACAATATAAGGATTCGATGAGTGATGAAGCATTACTGCTATTGTGGTTAATAAAAAATAAATAGGAAATCTTTTTGCAGACGAATCGTCAACGGCATTGATTTATACCCAATACTATCGTTTTAATAATATTTGCTTAAGGTACGTTTAAGCGTCGAGTATCACAACTGAAAAATTCCCCCAAGATTATTATAGTAATATCTTGAGTACAAATTAAAAAGTATTAAGGAAAAAAAAAAAATTTGTATCAACGTAACTGAACAATTATGTTTGGGGCGATTTATTCATATAATTACTAAGAATGGCGTGTTCTGAAATTCTACTATTTTAATTTGTTACTAAATAAAGTTACACTACACAATACAAAAACAATCCATTGCTTTTACTTAGAAATAATAAATATGTTATAATTAGGGAAATTACAGTCTCCCGGGCCAATTAGAGTAGAAAATTTGTATGAACGATATACGCGATAAAAATTGCTGATGTGAATGCCTTTTCTAAATTTCAAATATATTTTTCTAAATATTAAAATATAATTGCACAGGTAGTTTTAATGAATTTTGATTAAACTTTCACGATGATGCGTGCGTCAGTGCGCTTTCTTATTTTGTCAAATGCATAGATATTTTTTCCTTTTAGACTAGACAAGAATTATCTTTCATAGATTCATCGATAAGTCATGTCATTAGTTAATCGAATATTTATATTTATTTATAATTACGGGATGCTGTAAAAAGTCTCGATCAAACTTACGGACATATTATATTGTAGAGAGTAATAAATGATTAAGAACGATCCTTTGTAAAAATATTAAAGTTGACATAGTAAAAGCGAACCGAGTATTAAGATTCAGTGATGTTTTATTCAGAGCAATTTGCTAAATTAAAAAACAAAAAAGTTCACCTCGATAAATTGAAAAAAGAAAATAAAAATCGGTATCCTTTGAGATCGCCAAGATTGCATCTTAATTAAATTCAAATTACAGATAATTTTTTCGCGCGCGATTATCTTTCAAGATATATCGGCGACTTTGTCGCTTAATCATATATTTTATTAAATCTATAAATATTTTACGAAATTATGCGAAATTATGCGAAAAAATGCCGAAATGACGAAATGCCGACCCATAATGTTTACGTAAATCAGTTCGCGAATCTTCGAAAGCGTCTAGTCGCAAATATAATTTATCGCTCCGTTCACAACAACCCCCCCCCCCGCTCCGCAATTCTTAGCTACTAAAATCCATTCCTTAATTTTGTATAAAAATTAAATATTAAAAATATTGCAATAATGTTGAGGCTACAACGGCATTTATAAACTCCTGCGGCCTTATCTTGTCCAGGTATCGTGAGCCCTTGAAGCGAAACTTGTCGCGGTCGGTAGCGCAACGAAGAGAGGCGGCGCCTATCAGCCAAAACCGTCCGAGGATGTTGCGCCGGGAAGCGGCACAACTGGAGAAAAAGAATGGGCAGTCCACGCCGAAATGGCAGTCTCATCTTTCACGAAACACCTCCGATCTGCCCAGCATTCATTATATCGAAAGCGTGAGGAAGCACAAAGGGACTTACCGTATTAGCGTCCGCCTGGGTGCCCGACTCCCCATCACCTCTTCCCTTGACTCTGTCTTCCTCTTCCTCCACCTCCTCCACCTCCTCCTCCACCACCTCCTCGTCCACCGCCACCTCCATCGCGGCCTTCCCTCGCTTCGTAGCGGGGCCCCTCTTCTTCGATCCTGTCAGCGGGCCTTCGACGAGGTTCGAGTTCCTCGGGCCTGGAGGTGCGCCGTGCCGCGACAGACTCGAAACCCCGTCCTTTTTGCTCTCGTAGAGTCTTAAGTTGCCATAATCGTCGCGGCGCAAGTGCCTTTCGATCTCCGTGTTGCGATAATCGCGTTTCACCACCTGCGTTGTCGGCTTCCATGACGTCGAGCTCGCCGGGGTCGTCGTTGTCGCGACGTCCTCCGTCAGCCTTCGTATTATGTCGTCGTAGGTCCTCAGAGGAGGACTCGCCGCTTCGTCGTTCTTATAGAAGTCATTGTCCAGTTCCCGATCCTCGCTCACGTCAGCGGCCCAAAAATCGGCATCGATCGCCTCCTCCTCCTCGTCCTCCTGCTCCTCGTCCTCGTCGTCATCGTCATCGTCGCCCTCGTCGATGTCCACCTCCACCTTCTTCTTCTCATCATCATCATCACCATCATCACCATCATCCCCCTCATTATCCTTATCCTCCTCCTTCTTCTTCATCTTCCTCCTCCTCTTCTTCTTCTTCTCCTCCACCTCCTCCACCTCCTCCACCTCCTCCTCC